ATGAAGATTTCTGTCTTCTGGGTTGTTGCGCTGTGTAGTCTGGTTGATGGTTACCAACGTTTCAGAGGTCATACTGCCTCCTTCATCAGTATGACCTCTGAAACGTTGGTAAACATCGACCAGACTACACAGCGCAACAACCCAGAAGACAGAAATCTTCATACTCACCGCTGTGAGAACCTCAAGTCTTATATTCTTGTATTTTCTTAAGCCATTCTGCTCTTCACCCAGGGTATTAAATCACAGTCTTATCGTTTCCCACTGAGGAAGCAATGAATACATTATCTTGGGCATGCAACCAAGTTGAGGTTTTGCATGCGGTCACTTTTATGAGCACGAAATCTCGAACTGACCTCAAGGATATAGTTTAACGACGTTTGCGTGGCCGTCTTTAATTTTATTTTTCAACGAATGCCGGAACATGCAATCATTAAGGTGGGAATTTCGTAGTTCAGTGACCCCACTTTAATCAGTCCGTTTGCATTCAGGATAAGACCAGAAGTAAAATAATCCTAACGTAAGAAAATTAATTAATCTCTGTTTTATATGGTTTTATAAACGTTTAGTAGCTGGAATATAAACAGAAATATTTGATGGTATGAGTTGCGTACCTTTGTATATCTTTATCGAATTATATGATACGTGGGTAAAAATAATAAATATAATGTGGTAATAAAATATTTGAACCCAAATTGTAACATAATTTGCGCTACGCATAATGCGTGTAATGGATTGTTTAAAGATACATGACCAAGTAGGTGGGAAGAGAGCATTAAGATAGATCTTAGGGAATATGTTGTGAAGATGATTTGATCTATAGTGTTATAAATCTAACAAGAAACCTTTCACGCAATGAAGTTTATCTTTATCTTAATAGTGACACAAGTGGGCAACTTGCTATTTCTGGGTTTCCGATTTCTGAAAATTTACATTAGAGAAATCATTTTTATTTCGTGCGATCATTAACAGATTAACCACCGTCCTTTAAATTTTAATTAAACGCCATATTCTATATATTTAATGTGAATAGCCGAAATTTTTGTTTAGAGGCAGTGCACTAGACGTGCATTCGGGCTACCGTGGTTTATCCCTTTTGTCTGTAGGCCTATATATTGTCATGAAATAGACCACGGTCGACTATTTCCACATCCTTTCCTAAAAAGATAGTCGCTTGTTCTTGATATTTTTTTGTCGGTGATTCTCAGGGAAGCTGAGTCTGGTAAAGCCTTTGAAGGATCTGCGAAAGATCACACAGCCCTTCCAACCCATTCTGCTGACCATCATGGCGGAAGAGGTGAAGACAGGTGTGAACGAGCCGCTCGCCATGTCCAGCACAGTGCAGCTCGCGCTCATAATGGCAGAGCCCGATAACACCCCTCCATACTTCGACAGCGAAAGGTCAGTGATTTGGGGAGGGGGGGAAGCGACACGTTCCGTGATTTATCCTACTCTTGACCTCGACATTTGGTTCAGCAAAGTGATCACAATCATGTTCCGGCCGCCTTATCGTCTCGTAATAGCTTCTGGTGATAATTGTTTTAATATTACATATTAAGCCGTAAGATACATCACATTGTGATTATTATTTGTTAATTTCTAGATTTGCAAATTTAAAACTGCCGCTGTTAGCTGCGCCAGCAAACCCAATTTGTTTCTTCCTTCAGATATGTGACGTGGATGGACGAGAACAGCCCCCAAGGAAATGCCCTCATCTTTAACGACCCCTACATAGCAGAAATAAGGGATGATGACGTAGTAAGCATGCCTTTGTTTGTAACATAGCCTAATAATTACCAACTGATAGTAAAACGAGGAAATATCAAATTTCAACATGTATTTTTATTTTTTCCCCTGCGTCTTCAATACCTGGAATCATCCTTTAAGTATTCTGGACGTGGCATGTATGTAGGAAAGATAAATTATAAAAAAACGTGCCCAATACATACCATGTATCCTTTTCTCAGCGTGGACACACGTAAAACATTACTTGTAAGAAGTATATAAATATCTAAGGATTTCGGACATGGATTTTTTAAATGATTGTCAATAACTCTTGTCAAAGAGATCCAGAAAAAAACTTTATTAAAATAATCAAAATAAAATACAATTTGGATAAATTATTTTTACCAAATATAGACTGATCCTTCTGTTTCGTGTTAATAAATGTAATGCTATGTTCGCTTTTATTACGAACAGGGGAAAAACGCAGTATTCTCCATAAGTCTGGGCAACAATAACGGGACTTTCGAGGTTGCCCCTACAGTGGGGGAGACGCGTGCAAATTTTGTCATCCGGGTGAGGAACAACTCTTTGCTGGATTATGAGAAACGGCACTTCGTGGTGTTTACCGTAAGTCACTGAGAACACCTTTCCTTAAGATCTCTTTTAATATTATCCTACCATTTGCGTCTAGCTCTTCCAAGTGACCCTTTTCATTCAGGGTTTTTAATTAAAAGTTTTTGTGCATTTCTCCTATTTCCCGTGAGTGCTACGTCTCCCATTAATGTAATTCTCTTTTGTTTCATCTCTCTACCAATCTCTATTCAAGTGTGAAAATTTTGAAGTCACTCATTAGGATTATGTATTTTCCTCTGTTCTCCGGTTACTTCTTCTCGTAGGTCGACGAAGGATTGTGGATACTGTACGTTCATATTGTTCCAACAATAATTTTTCCTCCAAAAAAATATCTTAATAATGTATTTGAAATGCTTTATTCTCCTATACTTTAAATAATGTATCCCCCCCCATTCTTCTCAATAATTTTACAAGTCTCTATGTAATTTTCTGTATTAACGCTGGCCTTGTAATCCTGGGGTCTCGGGTTCGATTCCCGGCGGTGCCCGAATTTATAACTTGTGTTGGGCAAGGCCGTGGTCTAGGCAACACGGAATTTTCCTCCGGAGGCTTCCCCGGTTTCTCCGTGGCATCCCAACAATTACTCCATTCACACACAGAAGAAGGCAATGGCAAACCACTTCTGGATCATCTGCCAAGAACGTATATGAACAGGTCCCAGTCCGAGAAAAGGATGGAAGGATCCTGTTCATATGGACCTGTTGTCAGACAGAACACTAAATAAATAAATATTAAATAATCTCTAATGTCTCTTTATAAATATTAACCATCTGACCCAAAGTATACGAATTGTCTGAGGGGGGTACTTGAAACATTGTCGTGCTTTCCATGTATTTTGCTAACAATCGCCGATGACTGTGTCGGTTGAAACTGTTTTCGCAACTTAATGGAGCTTGGTGAACGTCATCACTCAGCTCGTAAAGAAATCTCGTTAGATTCACGGCAGTGACGTCATGGATAATAATCTTCTGGGTTGTCTAGTCGTGCAAACTTATGATGTACGTAATTACCAATGTCCTTTAGGCAAAAATTCTACCTTGAAGATGGAGGCTATACATTAATAACCATCTGCAAGAATGCACGGCGCCACGACCCAGAATACCACAATCCATGACAGTCCCTGCTTTAGACAAACCCAATCTCAAATCATGTCCTGAAGAAGGACTCCGCTGTTTGGATGCCATTGGTCTCAATGTTAACATTTGAATTTTACGCCGTTGAATGCAGATTCACGCCCGCGAGGTCGGCCCAAGGACTTCCCTGTGGAGCTCAGCTCAGGTCACGGTATACCTCAGAGATCAGAACGACAATTCGCCGGTGTTTCGAGATACCATCTACAGAGCGGAACTGACGGAAAACGCCACAGCGGGGACCAGAGTCACACAGGTTGGACTGGAAACGTCGCTCGCTTTTCATCCGAAACCACAATCATGCGACTACGAGTTGATAAGAAGTGGTCGTAGCCTGTTTAAAACCAATATTACAGCACTCGTCTGAAAGGACTGAGATCATGCTATAATGTAATTCACTGGAGTACGCATATTTTCGAAATGCGTCCTTCCTGCTTTGCATATCCTGTTTTTATTTGTGTTCATTCATTGCGAAGGTAATCTTAGCACTTACGACACGGCGTAGACAGAAAATATTTGTTCTTGTATTTGTTGTAAATTCGTTATATCGAAAATTGTTTCAAATATGAACTTTAGGTCTTCATAAAATCTATTTTTCTTACTGCACTAATTCTAATAGTTCATTTAAAATAAATTATCTCTTTTTGTAACAATAACAGAATGTCTTAGTTGAATGGCTAGAACTTCTATTTCGTGATCAGGATGGCTCTAGTTCAAATCCCGGTATGGAAACTTTCTACTCTGTTGAGATTTATTCGTGATTTTCCTCACTCAACCCATGCAAATACTGAGATTATATATATATATAAACTAGGCTCGATGGTTTCCTTCCATATCCTTTCCAATTCATCATTTATAAGTTATCCTATTATTCAACGCTGCGTAATCCGAACTATTGTCATGTCGTTATATAGACCATAAATACATTAAAATTTACCATAATATTAAAAAATATTTTTAGTATTCCTAAATGAAGCCCTTTTTATTTCCTGAATCTGACCGAGTTCTGAGGTAATGAACACTTAAGTTATGCAGTAAGCTGTTTGATTGGTGATTTCGACATGTGCGTCTATCTGTCTGTTTGCAGGTGGCGGCCGATGACGTGGATGAAGGCGATAATGGTGAAATCGCATACACCAGTGTCCTCAGAGACAACAATTCCCTGCAGATAGATAACAAAAGTGGCTGGATCACTGTTAAAACTAATATGCACATTTTTGATAGAGAAAGTGCTAAAGGTAGGTACCAACTATCAGATGAGTCGCGTTCTTATATCTATGGAGCGACTATTAAAATCTCTCCGCACGTCTGTCCGTCCGTCAGTGCGCACAAGAACTTCCAACACGGCTGAAATTATTTTAGTGACATTTCATATTGGAGACTCTTACTAAAAATCTGTGAGCATATTCCACTTTTGCTGAAACTCAAGACACTTTAGGTGAAAACCCATGGACTTATGTGTTTCTGCGCGCCGAGGTGACTGGATAGGCAATCACCAGGTTACTCTTCATTACAAGAAACTATTACCAACAAATGAAATACTTAAGAGACATATGTGTGGTTAGAATGATTATATTAAAATTAATTTGAGGGGGAGACAGGACAATTGGATTGGATTTATCTAGCTTAGGATATATTCCAGTGGAGGGTTCTTCTGAATCCTTCGAATTCGATAAAGGACGTGTCTTTTTTAAAAAAATTACAGACTATATGTATTCAGAGTTACAATCGTATCTCATTTCGAAATGATTCGCACAAAACAACATAAAAAGTGATAGCATACTCTTATTTATGATAATTCATTTGGTTATTTTATTTAAAATCGCATTCGGTTGAAGACTTGCAGGAAATCTTTAATATTGTTGTGCTTTCAACTTGTTCTGTTGTACAGACGGATGTGTTCCTCAGAGTTTCAGCTGTACGTGGTAGCAGCAGACAGGAATGGTAAGGGAAATAGTGCCACTGCAACACTAATCATCGCTGTACTCGATGTTAATGACCACACGCCCTCGTTTATAAGAAGTGATTATGAATTCGTCTTGGCGAAGGATCTCATGAGCCTTAACTCGCCTGCAGTCATAACAGTAAGATTCTATATCTCTACACCTTGATCACAGTTGAGACTTCAGCAATAATTAGTGTTCCATATCCCAGAAGACAGCGAAACATTTTATTACGAAATCTTATAGACGTACTTAAAGTAATTTCCACCACTTACCTTCATTTTATCCGTCTCTCTCTCTGGTGCTGTCAACCATAAACCACTGTTACAGAGCAAAATCTGTGTGTGCAGTTCTATTGTTTTTGTAATCGTTAAATATAAGCTTGCATTTATAATCAACGTGTCTCCTCTCTTTCGTTTAATGCATAAAGCGATCTCCGTGTAGCATCATGGGAAGATGTAATAGGACATTGATCAATGGTAAAATTATCCTATAAGCTATTTATATGATTTTCATAAGCATTTATATTAATTGAATACAAATTGTTTTAGGAGTACAGGCGAAATCGGTCCTTTTGTAAGATTATTTAGTGTTTGCTCTAGGCTAGAAGAAATTAAGTGAATTATGAATTTTATATAAGAATAAATTCTGAAGAAGCATATTTTTGAATAGATCTGCAAACGGCTTGGAATCTCGATCGGTTTTACCAAAATCTGATATATTTTTTTATGTTTTAGGCGACTGACGGGGATGCTGAAGCCCCGAACAACGAAGTTCAGTACGAAATTGTGTCTGGAAACCGAAATGAAATGTTTCGTATTGACACACACACAGGTACGTGCATCTGTGAAGGGGATTCTTATAAAATCCATTTGCTACTGCTCTTGAAATACATTGCGTTCGATATGGAGTGAATTTTTTTTCTGATCATTTTTCTTTATTTGATCATTCTAATAATATTTGGTTAAGAGTACAAATTATTGTGAAAATTTCTTCAGCCTCCTGGCGATCTTTCCCTCTTATGTTCGGATATTAATCTCAGCGCTCACAATATGTTCCGCTAATGTGCGAGACAGAGAGTCATACAAATAATATCAACTCGTAACTGTGACTTTGTTCCAGGCATTCTGTCAATAAACGACAGGGAAATTTCCAGCAAGATGAGAGAGGAGACCAGGATACAAAAGTTCAACCTTTTAGTCAGGGCATACGACTTAGGTATGATCTTCCAAAATACCTCTGTAACTCTAATTTGATCAGATTGTTCTACACCTCAGGCCTGTTTTGATTAATAATTAATTATGAAACAAATAATTCTTAGATATTTTACAAAAAACCTTGGCTGGTTGGCACGACATATCATCCCTGAAGTTGAAGACAGTATGTTCTTTTGAAACGTATCTACGTATGAGTCCACACGGGGCCACAGCCCAGAAATCTAGCATCGGCTGTTTGTGTTCGATTTATTTGAAGCAGTTGAGGCGATTCTGTGCGTCACAAGTGCAAGGGGGTCGATCACAGGGGCAGCAGATAACGAAGCATGTACTATCCATACGTTAAACATTATTTACTGATGGCAGTACTTTGTAGATGGCTGTGTCAGTTCTTGTATCGGCAATGTATTTGCATTTGCTTAATACAGCGTGTCTTTAAATGTTATGAAATCGAGGATACATCACCCGCATTTAACATGATTAAGAATTATGCAAGACGGCGTACAAAATAATATTCGTTATTAAAAATGTCGCTTTTGTCCGCTGGATATATCGGTGTTAAAAAGAGAAATAAATGTAATTTTTTTTCTCGTAGTGAAATCCACATGCAAAACGTACCCACTAATTCTGAACACAAAATATTTAGATTCTGAAAGCCAAGATAAAATGTCGCTAGTCTGAAATTTGCTTTTACTTGAGAATAACAAACATTTGTTCTTGTTCTATTTTCAGGTGTACCTTACAGATCCAACACGGTCCCCATTCTGATATATCCGCCAGAACCAAACGCACGCAACATGACATTTATCTTGAACGGGTACCCAGTGGACCAGAAGGAAACTGAGGAGATTCTATCCAAAATCACCGGAGGGCGAGCGAAAATCCAAAATGTCCAACCATTACCCGTAAGGAGAGCTCGCAGCGAGGAGTCAGAAAAATCATCGAACGAGAAGTAAGTCCGGACACGCTGCACGGTTTCAAATGAATCTATCAGAGTAACTTAAGATTACATATTAATTAGCATAATAACGACCGAACATGTGTAGGAAGGAACCTCATTTCTCAAAGGATAGGTTAGGTTGGGTTGAGTTCTGTTATGTTGGGTTGTTGGAGGTTACGTTTAGTAAAGATATGTGAGGTTAGGTGTGTCGCGTTATGTTGCTGCTATGAGATGATTTTGCGCCGATCTCATCGGCTCACATTCCCGTGCATATATTTTGTTTCCTCTGTTTCGACGGTTTTATTCTAGGGCCGATCTTATCGGCTCTTACTCATTTTAGCTTCGCCGATCGTATCGGTTCTAGTTAGTCACATTTTTTTTGATCCCGGCGGTTTTTAACTAGGGCCGATCTAACGGCCCGGAGCACGTATCATCAGCTCTTACTAAATTTTGCCTTGAGCTAGGGCCGATCTAGCGGCCCGGAGCACGTAACATCAGCTCTTACTAAATTTTGCCTTGAACAATACTAGCGACTCGTTTGAATGCAGAATGCTTTGGTTGCGTTTCACAGCTCTGGCTGAACCACCTTTTTCCGGATTGTACTGTAGATCTTTTTCCTTTAAATGCCTTAAATAGTGACTAGCTACGGGCTGGACGACCGGGGTTCGATCCCCCACGGGGGCAGAAGATTTTTCCTCTAGCCTCTGCGTCCAGACCGGCTCTGGGGCCCACCCAGCCTCCTCTACAATGGGTACCGGGGTCCTTTCCCGGGGGTAAAGCCGGCCGGGGCGTGATGCTGACCACTCACCCCCATCTAGTGCCGAGGTCAAGGAAGAGAGGAGCTATACCTCCACTCCCCCCAAGCGCCTACATGGCGCATAGCGGGACAAACTTATCTTTCATGATCGAACCATCGTTGTCTTCTAATTCTATTAACAAATGTTTTTTTTCAATAATACATTTACCTGTTGGCGTGTTAGTGTGTTGTAATGGCGAGTTCTTTTCCCGCAGGTCCGTTGTTTCAGCTAGGGTTCTGTACGACGACAACCCCACGGTGGATTTGACGCAGTTTGAGAACGCACTTCGAAATAACCACAGCACAGTTGTCGTCTACAAGAAAGATAAAGTGGTAAGTCGTATTACGCTCTCATCATTGACGATAAAGCCTGTACACGCCAACTCATTCAAAGTCTGATGAGTGGTGAAATCAGGAAAGTCGCGTATGGCTAAGAAACTTAAGTAATTCTACACCGTTCGTGTTTGTGCTTGAATTCAATAACGTACACACGTCGTGTCGATCTGTTGTGTTCAGGAAGAGTATCATCGGGCAGAGAGCGCTCTCTTCTGGATCCTCATGATTCTGGCGATCTTGATTGTCATCATAATCATACTTCTTCTACTGTGCTGTATCTGCCCTGGGTGTCCACTGTACGCAAAACCCAAGTAAGTCAATTTGAATCGATGTTTCTATTTGAGAAGCAACGTTAACATTAAGTACAAAAGATAGTGTAATTGCGTCATATTGTGAATATTATAACAATTATTTATTTTAATCCGTCTTATCACAATATTTAAAATTTCTTATAATTAAGATAATAAAATATCAAAAAACATCACCAAATGGAATCATATTTGAGTTTTAAGTTCGTAAATATTTTACACCTGATGATGGTTTTATAAAAACTGAAACATGTTGTGTAAAGAATGTTCCAAAATGTAAATCGATCAATCGATATGGAACATCAATGATATTTTATTATCTTAATTATAAGAAATTTTAAATATTGTGATAAGACGGATTAAAATAAATAATTGTTAAGTACAAACCCATTTGTCATTTGATTTATTATTTATTCTTTGACTCCGTATATTCTGAGACACTTAAATAAACAACAAACAAATATGAGAGGAGCAGATTGGATTAAGTGTATCGCCTGTGATTACTAGGCGTGATCGGGAGGCTAATTTTGAGGTGTGTGTTTAAGAAGTATTGTTCAAAGTGTATGGATTTGGATTAAAGGCTCTGCGATGTTATTCTTTGAACACGATTCGTGTCCTATAAGAGATACAGTATTTCTTAATCAGCTGACAAACTGTCAGCTTCTCAGGGTCCTGCTCCATGCAGCTCTTCAACTCACCACAGATACAGAATAAGAAGGACTCGATTAAAGCGATAAATCACGGCATTAGCAAGGAAAGTGTTGAATTGTTCGATAACTACAACGCAGTGATAATACAGGCGAGATGTGTATAACTTCTGTGTACCTGTTAATGCGGCTTCCATCAGGAAAGGAAATGAAGTTGGCGCTCTGACCGAAGAAAGCGTGAATCTTGTGATAAAGGACAACGGTCCAGGCAAGGAGTCCAAGGCTGTGCAAGGTGAGTGTAATAAGCCTTCACCGTATTGACGTTTGCATCAGATACATTTTATGTTTCGGATTTTCTATTTGCGTCAGTCTTCACATAATTAATGACAACACCGTACGAAACGACTTATTTTCTTTTTCGTAATAATGCTAAGGACAAGTAACGATGCTGGAATCTTTCGATTTCAAACTCGCATGTCATCCTCGATGATCTGGTGACCAGGTCACGAAATATGTGCTCCTTATTTTTAATGTGCTCATGGTAATTCACGAAGTTAGAAATATTTCCCGATACATTTTCAGTACAAAACTTGTCTTCATATGGTCATTCATGAAGTTAGAAATATTTCCCGACACATTTTCAGTACAAAACTTGTCTTCATGTAAATACTTGTGGAAAAATAATTAATAAGGTAGTAGGAACTGAGACAGTTTCCAGCGATATCAGTTATCTTACGGTAATCTTGGACTGAACTGATCTCAGTTGTAAATAATACGGCCATTTGTATTGAACGGTAGACCAGAGTAATGGGAGTGTGTCTGTGTGAACGAGAATGCACCGTGAAATTGAGATGTGTGGTTACATCAGAGAAAGTCAAGTCGTCCTAGGATATTCTGAATAGAATTACAAACTGCACGGAGGAGATTCCACTTTTTGAGAACCTAATAGTCGTTCACTTAATAAAGAAATTATCCGCTTGTAATATAACTCGAAGGTTTATTACCGTGAATCACATTTTTTCTTCAAGATACAACCTTTTATTAGGATTTCCCTCTCATCTGCGCCAAGTTGTGAAGTTCCTTTAAATACGAAACGTATTTGGCCAAAACTTGGTAAGTTTTTATAATTTCCGACATGCGTGCTACATGTCCCAATCTTACCCTCCTTGATTTTGTCATCTTAATTATATTTCATGAAGGGTACAAATTATTAAAACGCAGGTTTCTTCAGCTACCTTTTTCTTACACTCACTCTCTTACGTCAAAAAGTTCTCCACATTTGAAGTTCAGGTTTCTCTGAGCTAGAGGTCCACAGTGACACTCGAGTAAGGAACTGGTAGCAGCTAAGTGAGCTCAGTTTCGTCAAAATTATTAAATATTTACACCGACATTTGTTCCGAAACGTGAATGGATCTAAATAAGCAGGGTCTGAGTGCGTGGACTCGATTTGAGTGACTCAGAATACTGTCCAACTGTTGTGAACGCCATAATGATCCTTTGGGTTTTATAAAGGCCGAGGGATTTCTTGGTCAGCGCAGCGATTGTCAGCTTCTAAACGTCTCTGCTTAATGTTCTGATGAGGCACTTATAGAAGAATACAGAGAGGGTTTGTTGTATTCTTCTTAGCCGAAGGGATGGGACATCGAAGAGAGGCGTGGAGTGCTGAACAGCGCGAGCCGAGGTACCATTCTTTCCGGTTCAACCGCCGGAACATACCTGCCAAGGAGCACGAGCAGTTAAGAACTGGGCCTGATGACTGGCGACTTGGCTACGACGTCAACGGGCCGGCCGCAGCCGCGATGGGTGTCAGAGGACCAGAAGACGGGCGCTCACTGCGCAGTCTCCCCGGACCTACTGTCATCTACACACGCGAACTTCAAGATCTGCAACGCCAGGCCGACTCCCGATACCGGGATGTGTATCTGGAGGATATCGAAGGGACGGATTATCCTGCTGCAGGTCAGATGATGGACCATCGACAAGTCAGAGGTCGAATTCCTGCTCGCGAAGTTCGAATCAATGCCGAAGAAGACCACGACACTGACTCGATCAGAAGACATGAGGTAGAAAGGGGTTCTGATTTGGGCAGAGGTGGTGAGGTTAGGCGTAACGACGGAAATAGGGATATTGATAACGAGGGTCGCGAATACCGCTTTGCCCTCCATCGCGAAAATAATCAGGGGGTGACGCGCGCGCGTGTGGACGAAGAAACCGGGCATCTGAGTACAGTGGTCGCTTCTCGGAGAGAGCAATTCTATATCCGCGACGGAAACGCCGAAATACTGCGGCTTGTAACCAGAGGACAGTCAGGGGAAGAACAAGAGTTTGCTCAGGTTGCACCTCAGCCTCAACAGAGACCAATGACACTTGTTCCACCTCGACAGCAAGATCATACTGTGAGGGCAGACAACGGTAAGGAAATACTAATGCAGCGGTTTATGGAGGACCAACGTAATAACAGCAGCAGTCAGCAAGTAGAAGCCCCAGATTCGGATTTGCTGACAAGTCTGCATCAGCAGGACATGCTTGTGAGGAGACTTCTCGAAGAGGAGGCGCGTCTTAATAATACCTTGCTGCTCACTGAGGCCCTTGTCGCACAGCGCCAACACGAGCAGTTCCTGGCAACAGCAGGCGAAAACGTTGAGACGCAAAGCCTTCCGGGGCAGACCACAATGGCAACTCAGACGGATGTGGACTCCAGCACCCAGACTGAGCCAATGCACCTTATGAGACCTCCTAGGAGACGAGCCAGAAGCGACAATGATGACTCCTATACAGAAGAGGAAGAACGAGAAGGCGAATCAAATGAGCGAGATACTGAAGGGTTGAATCCTCCAGGAACTGCAGTACACGGGTTTTGGATTAAGAAACATCGAAGTAAACGGAAACGCGGTTTCTTTCACAAGGGAGATTTGAAAATGAAGCGGATAGGATGGAAAGGTGGATTGACTCTGCCCGGTAAACGACATAAAATCAAAACGCCGATAATGGAAGAGACTGAGAGTGCGTTGGAAGGCTCTGAGAGACAGCAGGATCATGTCGCGTTTGGAAATTACTCGGAGAATAAAACGAGTATGTTGCGGCGTCGGAGTAACAAGGCCAAAGTTGCTACGAGCTCAGGAGATATGGAAGTGACGAGTGTTACCACCCGGCGTCAAGGTGGGCTGGAGGATGCTGAAGAAGAGACGCCGACAGACTCGCTAGAGGAACAGTCGCCCTCGAAGAAACACCATGAATCGTACATCACAATCGATAACTACCGAAGTACTCGAACACCCAAGATATCTTCTGCATCGATGGCGGATGAGCGGAATGTAAATTTTGACGACAGTAGATGGCCATCTTCGAAGACGCATCGTGTCGAGTTTCAAGACATCGAAACTCGTGGAAACGTTTCTGTGTCGCACACAAGAGGCGAATCTCAGTCTGACAAAGGACGAGTTCGGGCTTCCGGTTTTGAGGAGTCCAGTGACACAAGCGGGAATCCGTCAGAACAGGAAAGTTCAGCTGAAAGTAGGCGTCGTGAGAAACATGCAATGCCAGGATTTGTTGATCAAAACGAAACAAATGACATGCGTAGCGGGAGGTCTGAAGCTGGTCTCGATGTCTCGGGATCGAGCAGGAAATTTCGTCGTGATTCGATTCCGAATGAAGAAAAAACGAATAGGAAGACAAAATTGTCTTCCAGGAGGGGATCTTTATCCGAACCTGGTCGGGATGAAGAGGAAGATCTCTCGCGGAGACAAACTGTGGCCAGCAGAGCTAAATCTTTGACCCACTTAAATAACGAAGGAAAAAAGAATGAAGACACAACAGGGCCTGTGAATGGACCTGCCCCGAGAAAGGGTTCACGATACATGGAATGGTACAAGACGAAAAGAGAAGAACGTGAGAGGAGAAAACGGGAGGAAGAAGAAAAGAAAATGAAGAAGAAAGACGCAGAGAGGAAGAAACAGAAACCCGATCGAACTGGTACAACTGATAAAAAATTGGCTAAAAATTTGGAAAACCAGAAGCGGGGTATATTGGTTGAAGACAGAGGGGCACGGAGAATAGGGGGGGAAGACGTGGATAAAGTGTTGGAAAAGGCCGGGGAGCAGATTTTGAAGGTGACGGTGTTTGACGATGACATGGATTCGGGGATTGCGATGTCGTCCTTGTTGATGGGTGGCGGTGGAAAGAAGAAGCGAAACCAGCAGATGATGGAAAAGAAGAGTGTTTTTACGATAGCTTACGACGACATGCAGACAAAACAGCTTCGTCCCGACAGCAGCTCGCCTCAGTACTGACGTCCCTCGAGCCAGCTCCGAACGTTCTCAAATTCTGAATGACCTGTAATTTACAATTCTTCCTATTACAACAGACTTCATCTGATTTTAGTGAAATAGATTTACGTATATTTGTAATAATAATTTATTTGAACAGTAAATGTAATTACTTCCATTATGTATCAAGCTTAACAATATACTAATTTATTATATTATATAACTCTCAGAAGAATAGTGAGTCATATTCACATACAGCCGTGCGAGTAAGAATTAATTAGTAACATCGAATATTTGGGTCCCATTAGTGCGTTACTTAGTACGCAATTGAATGTGACGGAAAGCGTGAATCAAAGCAGATCGAAAACATTTGTTTTCGACTGGATTACCTATTAAGACCGGTTTGTGAGTCAATGTTGGGTGTGTTAGACTTGGCATACCTGATCAACATTCCTACTTCTGTTCTGTAAAATAACTTGTTTGGCTTGGCCCAGAGTTCAGAGTCGTTTTGCAGGACTGAAAATACGGAGCGATAAGCCTACTATGTAAAAAAAACGGCGTCAATGTTACAATATTGGAAGGTTGTATGCGATGAGTCATCAGTCGTTGTTAAACAAGCCAACTATAAACTACATTACAAACTACCGATCTCATCCGAACCATCAGCGCGGCAACGAGGAATTCTAAAACTGCTGCATTAACTAGGCTACTAGGAGAAACGAAGAGGTAATTCGACTAGCAAGCGAATGGCTTGTCTTTTATTACGTAACGCGTAGTCACGTTGATGTCGACTGACAGTGCAGATTGTGCTAAACCCAGAAGAAGGTCATCCGAAGGTAAGTCACTGTGAAAACTGGTTTTTTTTGGGGTTACTTTGAATAATCAGTGATCTACATTTAAAACACTCCGATTCCACTGTCATGAAGAAGGAATAACTAATTAAATACTTAGGGTTCTTTCTTGAGAAGCTGATAGCAAATTCCCAACCTTTTATGGAACTGTATTTTTAACAAGATTCCCCATCCTGAATAATTTGAATCCGGTCCACACTGCACTTAATTTCCGTAAGACCCATTCTAATATTATCCTCGTGTTTACAGCTGCTGTCTGTAGTTTCAAAGTTCTTGGACTCCATGCTAGCTCATCTTTCATCTCTTCATACCGTTCAGTAGTTCTGAGTAATAAATTCAAATCTCAGTCCGGAGACCCAGTAGCCTATATTAACGTAAGTGTACCCAGGTTTTCCTCAGTCCATTCAGTCTAGCACTTTAAAATTTGTTCCTTCTGAATCTATTTATCGTGTACCTTTCGGCAGCTGATACGACATCGTCAAATGAACACAGAATAAATTTCATCAGTCATAATTACTTTTCTATCTTATTTGATGCTATATCAAATCTAAAACTTCTTAACGATGGTGAAGAGTCAATTGAATAAAAATTTTCTTGGATATTATCCATCGTCTAGTAAATATAAAACGTAAAAAACGACGTTTCGGAGATGGGACTCTATCTCCGTCTTCAGGTTCCTACACAGTTAGGCCCACTAGATAGAGCTAATCCCTATCTCCGGAACCATTCCCGTTTCATACTCGGGTTATCCTGGGTTCAAATCTCGGCACGGTTTACTGCCTACTAAGAAACCCTTAATTAAAACTAATCGTTGTTGTTATCATTATTATAACAATTATTTTTCATTATTTTAAGATTATATTTTATTAGTTTCTTATCTATTTAGACTATTTTCTATTTGCAAACATAATAAAGAAACTATTTCGATTTGTTTTTCTGAATTTAGTAACAGGTCTATTTATCTATCATAGGCAAACTTTCTAAAGGCACTGAACAAAACAGTGGGCCCTCAGTATCCCCGAAAGGAGATTAACCTAAAAATATATTTGTAACGTCAGTATATATTTGGAAAATTGTGCGATAGTGATTGACAATGGCCGACGAAATTACGAGAACCTTAAGAGACCTCAGGCCGCCAACGCATTGATCGAAGTACAAAGGTTATCAAGTTAAAACACGACGTCGTCTGTCGATTATCACGTAACAAATACGCGCGAACAGAATGAGTGGACTGCAGGTTGTATAAAACGTTAGGGGAGAAGTACAGAGTTCAAGCTGTCTATGCTCTCCGTATATCCTGGTCTCCTGTTAGCTCAGACTATCTTGGCGCTCCGCGCCGTGTTCCAGACGAGCAGTAGAGGAGGGGGATTGGACCCCGTCTGACACAAGATGGAGTCGCAATGTACAGACAGCCTGCAAACACGTGGTCGAAAAGTTTATTCGATGATGAACGTTCTCCTATTTCTCGTACCCAGGACGATAATTACTTCATCAAACGATGACGTCACAAACTGTACTTGCTGTTCATTAATTAGGAACGAAATTGTGGAATATGAGAAGTGCATATAAAATTTTAGTCTGAAAAGCAGAAGAGATGGGTCTTCTTCAACTTCACCAAACGCTAACGAAATTTTCAGGAACTTTAAATCTCCGACTATGATCTTGATCTCATGAGCGATTAATTATCATATCTGATTTAGGAACCTGCTGGCTCCATGCTCAGGTAATTAATAAATGTAAATTCAAAACAAGCATAGAAAAGAAACGAGTTATCCAACTAACCACGTGGGGTGTCGGTTGGTGTCTACAAGCGAGATTTCGTAAACCAGTAAATCATAAAGACTGAGGAGGTTTAACGTGTGGTTCGCTGACAGCACAAATCAAAATGTCGGCGACGGATTCACATGGGGGTTACTCGAACGTTCATAAATCCAGAAAGGCTGGAGACATTGCAGTATTCTTTGTCCTCTTTCGTCTGTGTGTGTCCCGACTCTTTTGTCGATGTAATTAACAACCACAAATAATTATTGGAATGGAAAATCAAGAAATGATACAAGAATGCACGAATTGTCGTGTAGTATATCTAAAGGTACAATTTGGCTGCACGTGACAGAGACAAGCGACCGAGGCAGGCGACAGAGACGGGAGACGGACACATCGCAGCTTGTCGCCACACACTTTTGAGGTGACGACCGAGACATGCGGCAAAGTGTTTGTTTTCTTTGTTTTGTTGAGACATACGTGCACATATTCTGTGAAAAATGAGTACAAAAATGCTTCTAAAAAGGTTACTCGAAGAAGATGATGTGTTGCTGTGTTATTTGTTGCGAAAGAAACAAAGAAAACCCATGAGTTCAATATTCAAAACCAGACGTGAAGAAGGATCTTTCTGTCTGTTAATAAAGAATCATTTATCATTAGAAGAAGATAATTTCAGGAGTTATTTCAGATTGAATCATAAGCAGTTTGGTTACGTACTGACGTGCTGCCTGAGCCCGTCGCGAGACACTACTGGTCCGAGAGCGGTCTCCTGTGCTTTGTCTCTGTCGCCTGTCTTTGTCTCGCGCTCGTAATTGTACTTCATACGATTGTACAGAGAGCAGACAGGAAGCGACCAATCTCGGTCTCGTAACTCTGTCGCCTGCCTCGGTCGCTTGTCTCTGTCGCGTGCAGCCAAATTGTAACTTAAGATAAACTTGAACTATTTATAAGTCAGAAAATTCGTAAGGAGACCGGTCCCTCCCTTCCTTTGCTCTGATGTGCATATTTAAATCATAATTAAAACAAAAGAACGTAGTTGTCAGAACAGTGCCTAAGCGTTGTAGACCTAATCATGAGTTACAGATTCTGTTCAATACAAATATTTAACCATTCCACCAACGTTGCCGTGTGTTATGCTGCAGACATCAAATTATTATACTCTAGTGACCCCCCCTTTCAAATTCAGCGTAAAAATATGCTACATTAAACCCTCCTACTTCCTGTATTAAATTTCTCTAATCGACAATATTCCGCGTGGCAGTCATTGAAAATGACTTGTGACTGCGTTAGGGACAGAATAATAAATGCAGCAAAATTGTTCTTGACAACGTAATTTCCGCTCACTAGCCCTTTTATGGGGGCCAAAGTTTTGTTACCGCCATTGAATCCCACTTCTAAACCACGTGATCCCCTTCTATTTCCTTCATATTAGACTTTCATCTACTACGGTGTCTTCCAAATTGTCTCTTTCCTTCACGCTACCCAAAACAAAATTTTTGTTTACAGGCTTATGTTCTCTGCACCTTCAAGCACGTGTGTGTTTATCATGCTTTCATTTTGGATCCTACGGACTTTCACGTAATTACCTGTAATGTATCGTTAATACATAGATACAGGCTCACTGTTAATTGTACTTCATATCTTTGATAAATAGTGTGAAGGAGAGAACTAGATTTAATTAGCTCAGTGGCGAGCTTTTGTGATCACTGAAACGAACCATCAGGTCCCATACAAGGCGAGGAATTGCCTAATTGCCTATGAAACCACAATTTTTCATGGAAGACCTTTATTAAAATCCCAATAATTTATTTTATTTACTTTTCCCTATTTATTATCTTGTTTATTTCGTGTGTGCTTATTTATTCATTCACCCGCCCACTTATAACCGCTTTTAACCAACGAATTTTATTGCCTTCATTTGCGTTCTTTAAGTCACTCTTGTACTATGACGTAAAATGTACTTGTGTGACGTTGAAATAAAATCGATTCTTATCGATCCAACGTTATCTCTTTGATTTTTGATCAAAGCAAGAGAGTTAGGTAAAAAAACAAATTTCCAATACTCATATTTTAATTAATTATATTTATAAAATTAATTACGAAATCCCAAATGGAATGTAAAATTACCAGTAATGTGTATAATCAAATTTACAAGTAACAATTAATTGTAATTGAAAATGTGTTTATAAATACGAAAAAGTGTGATTAGGGGTGAGTGAGTTCTCGGATTTACATTTGTAGTAATCGTTACAGATCATTGTCGTTCTTACAGTGCGTTGTGCCAAGACGAATTTATTAAACTCCCTTTTATTTTTGTATGTTTCTTGTGTATCCGTCGGTTTCGCCAGATAATAAAAACACGAAACAACAACACAGCATCAAGTGCCAAATGTAAACAACAGCAAAACAAGGACAACATGCGCGTACAGAAGGTCATTTTTACCATTTTAGTAGTCCATATACAAATTTGACTTCACTGTGACCTCTTTACACCTTCTGTGTCCCTGCTACTTAGCGTTTCGAATACCGTTCATGGCTGTTGATGTGGGTGGGTAAGGCGCAAAGCTGA